GGCCCTGTGTGCCAGGTTTCTGACTGGAACACTATTTAATGAATGACTCATAGCAGATATGTTGTATAATGGTATGATGTCCTGATAACTAGTGATATACAGCTACAATACTTAGCACTGCCTTGCTTCGGAAAGTCCTTTTATTGCTTGTTTATGTAACATACGGGTTTAAGAATATTATCATAGAATAGTGTTCTAATAGCCAGAAAAAACCCAAAGAAACAAACAAATGTTTAAGGCAGATCAGTAATTAAACTTCAAGCTACTTCTTTAAAATGCTAAGTTAAGAATGTCTGACTGACACTACCTGAATGTCTGACCCCATTACCTGAAAGGACAGTGTAGAGAGGTGGGGGTTGGTCTGTTCAACCAAATAACAAGTGATAGGACAAGAGAAAATAGCCTCAAGTTACGCCAAGGGAAGTTTAGATTGGATCTGAGGAAGAATTTCTTTACTGAAAGGGTTCTCAGGCATTGGAAGGGGTTGCCCAGGGCAGTGGTGGAGTCTTCATCCCTGGAGGGATTTAAGAGTCATGTAGACATAGTGTTTAGGGACATGGTTTAGTCGAGGAGTTGTTAGAGTTAGGTTAATGTTTGGACTCGATGATCTTAAAGATCTTTTCCAATCTAGGCAATTCTGTGATTCTATCTGAAAATACATTTTTTTACCTTCAACTTGAATTTGAATAAATTATGTGTGGCCTTTGTGGCAAGCAGCACAAACTCTCCATGAGGAGAGCCCTTTACTGCCGCTGTGCGGAAAAACTCACAGAGGTGAAGAGGAGCCACACTAAGTGATCCTCAGTGAGGTTAAACAGGTCATGCACACCAGCAGGCTGTCCTGCCCTTGGTTTCCATAGGGCAGGGTCTCCAGAGCTGGCAAGGACTAGTGTAAAACATAGAGCTCCTAACTTGGCAACCTGAGTCCCTTCACACAGGAAAGCATCATGGGAATGAGAACACTCAGGAATCTGCACAACTTCCCTTTCCCGAGCCGAAACTGAGTTAGTCCTTTTATTCTGACTCAATTACTAGGAAAAATTACCTGCTCAAAACCAATTCGCAGTTTATTTCACATTACATTTTGTTATTCTTGTTGAAGATCATATTCTGGGTTTTATGTAGTCTGGGTGTTTTGGTTTGATTTACCTTAATGGGTAGTGATGGTAATTAATGTTCTCTGTCTGTAAGCTATTAACCAATAACCAAGGAGACCCTTAACAAAGAAATGAGAAGAATACATGATTAGGGGCTGCTGGATTAACAGAGGAGAGTGGCATGCCTGCACAATTTTAGGGGCTGCTGGATTAATGGAGGAGAGTGGCATGCCTGCACAATTGCAGTGTCCTGCACAGGCAGATGGACCTTTGGGACTCCTTTGACAGGACTGGAGCATTAACAGTATTTATAATATGCCAGTATATCCTGCAAAATATCATAGGCACCAGTTCTTGTAAAAGAAGAATAAATGATTTTATTTCTTCTCTGTTAAATAGTTCCAGCATCTTTTCGCAGTGCTTTTGTTACACATTGCAGCTGAGGTGTTCACAAGAGTTACATGACTCTTAGCAAGATTTGCAGGAGAGGGGAATATGTCTGACTGTATTCCTATTGGCCCCTTTTGCCCCTGAGCAGTTACCCAGAAGTTAAGGCCATTGCTTGTTGCTTTCATGAGGAAGGAAAATTAACAATAAAGGAGATCTTTTTCTCAGGTGCTCTACTACAGATCTGTAAATAAATTTCCTCAGCTTTTCAAATTCATCAGTGCAGTGAGAACAAGTAGCAAGAGGCAGCCTCCTTGCTCACAGATGGAGTTTCTTGCTAGGCTGTATTCTGACAAAAAAAGGGTTCCTTCTTGGCCATCCTCCCAGAGACACAAAGGAGCTGCTTTCTTAGGTGGTTATCTGGATTTGTGGGCTTTCCTGGTAATTTTATCATGCTTTCCCTTGCTACATAGCCAGCAACCTGTGCAGTGCAATGATGTCTGTCTCCAGGCTCTCAAAAACAGGAATATTTGTTTACTCCTTTGTTTAAGGAACAGGCACACCAACATGAGCAGTGGAGTTATGGGGCTGCACTAGAAAAGGCCAGCGATTTCCTCTCAGCTTGCCCTGATCAGGAATTAAAACTCACTAGCTTCAGTCACCTGCATGCCTGTAGACTGAGAGCTCATGACAATTTAATCTCCTTCATAGTGTGAAGATGCTGTGATAATCCTTTGAGTCACGGATTTGACTGTGCTGCATATTGTACAAGACACAACAAAGACAGAGCATCTGCCTCAAAAGAACTTGCAATAAAACTTATTTGATTTCAGCAGAAGACAAAACCCCCAGATCTGTTTTTTATCTTGAAGCTAACAGTCAGTCAGTTATCAAGCATGGAAGTGGTAGATTTACTTCTGTATCATCTTGCAGTTTTATTTTACTTGTTTCTATAAGAGTAAACACTTTATAAAACTTACTAGTTATGCAGTTTTCCCAGTTAAGATTGATGTACACTGAGATCTTGGTTACATTTGTCATGGGATTTTTGTACTGTGCATTAATGCAGTTCTCATCAGTAAAAGGTTCTTCTCTTTTACCTGCACTGACCTAAGAAAAGCACTCACTTTTTATTGCAGGAAAATAATTCCACCACATCACTTAACCACAGATGAAAAGTGCTGTATTTGTTAGCTCATACAAAACAAAGACTGATTTTTACTGTATTTTGATTAATATTAATTTAACATAATTCATCTCAATGCAGTGCATTGTTGTGCTTAAATTGTTTATGCTTTTTCAGACTCATTCTCAAATTAATGTGATATGGGTCGAAGTACTCATCACATAAATCCTTCATGCTTTGCCAATGGTACATACATACATACATATATATATGTATACATTTATAAAAATAAAGTTAGTACAGTTAAAGATATATCTATATCTAAAAAATAAAGTTAAAAGGACAAATTTGAGGATGTACCATGGATTTAGTTGTGGAACTCACTGGCCATGCTCTGTTCCTCTCCAGCTGCCGGGCTGCAGCATAAGAGCATTCCTAGAGCCCCTGTGCCTGGATGGAAAGCTGGAGCGACTTTGGCGCTGGTGGGAGCAAGACCAGCCTGTGTGCAATGTGCAGGCATCCCACCTTGCTCCCACTGGAGCCATCGGGGAAACAACCTCTCCAGCTCTCGGGTCAACCCCCTGACCTGCAGCTCCTCCGAGATCCCCAGAGGGAATCATGGGGCTGGTCCAGCCCAAACCTGGGACATGGCGGATTTTATCAAACCTGTCTGTAAAACTGCTGTGATGGCTCAAGAAAGCATGCTGACATTTTAGAGGCCAGGGTAGCTGGCTGGTGTCAAGGAGCGTGCCACCTGAATGTGTGTGCAGCCTTTGGGAAGCGCCTGTCAGCCAAGGCGGCCCTTCCAGGAATGAGTGATCGATAAGGGGAGAATGGCAAAAGGCCATCCGTCAGCTGGGAGGCTGCATCGAGCACAGGCGTGGGAACAAGACAAGAAACATATTGACCCAGACCTGTGAAAAACAGTCCAAGGATTATTTAAGAACCTTAGTGAACAAATTTGCCAAACGGAAAAAAGAGCAAATACTTCTTCCTTCTTACTCCTTTTTTTTTTTTTTTTTTAAACCTTTTCAAACTACTGTACAACCCTTTTTCAGCATACTTTGTAAGGACTACAAACTACATGGAAGGATGTTATGGAGAGATGGGAGTCAGTCTCTTCTCCAAGGTAACAAGCAATAGAACGAGAGGAAATGGCATCTAGTTGTACCAGGGGTGGTTTAGACTGGATATTAGGAAAAACTTCTTCACCAAAAGGGTAGCACTGGATTGCTAACAAGCTTTTCTGGTCCAGAGGGGCAGTCTGAGTCCCCTAGATGGATGCAGAATGTGCATTCCTCAACTTATTGAACTGCCAATATGTCTTCTTAAAGAGACAAGTGAATCCTAAAAACACCTCTTATTGCCCAGCTAGTCAGCTTAGAAAACTTCTGCAGAAGTTAAGGGGAAGGAGTATTCTCCTGTGGCCACCTATGATGGCTGTCACTTTGTCATCAATGCTGTGACTTCAGATTTCTGAGTAGCACGTGGTGCACCCCAAGGAGCAGTGGGTCTCTGCCGGTGCAACAGTGCCTTCCCACTCCTCTTGGCCCTCCTGAGAAGCTCGTATGGAGAATCTCATTGCCCTCTCCGAGGAGATGGGTGGACGTCAGATCCTCTTAGAAGAGGAGCAGCATTGTCCCACACCAGCTGGCTCTCTGGTAGTGGACAGGACACGCTTCCTTCCACCATCTGCCCACTACTTCCTAGTGTCTTGAAGCCACAGTCTCTTGTCAAGATCTGTATCTGCAACTGTATCTGAACCACAGACAGGAGATGTTCCAACATCACTGACTCCATTTAGCTCCATGTGTCACTTTGTTATTTATACAAAATAAAGTAAAGCAGTTTTGTTGCAAAGAAGTGAAGCCAGTATCCCTGGTACCCTACCAAAAAATCTCCACTGCCAACAGCACCTGCCCTTCCTGAAGAACCAAGCTCAGAACTGGGTGCAGTTTAAAAAGTGAGTGACTCCATCTCAGATGGGAGAGCTGAACAAACCTTAGAAAAGTTTGATCAAAAGTAAAAGAACTCACCCAAACTGGAGCTCTGAGTTTTCTTCACAGCCTTTCTTGTGCATTTAAAGCAAGTTGCTTGTTTCAGTTCTAAAAAACCATCAGATTTTGAAGGAGATTTTTTTGTTATATGGTACTTTTTGGAGTGCTGTTACCATACATTTTTTTTTCTATTTTGTGAGAGCTGTTTTCTCCATTCATCTCATTTATAAAAGTTTAAAATCCCTGTCACTGATAGGTGCTGAACAAACCTAGCAAGAGCTGGGGATTTTTGTTCCCCTTTGCTTTCTTATAGCCTAGCAGTAACATTTGTCTTTGCCTGCTTAAATGCAAAATGCTGGTCAAGTGTGTAGCATTTTCTCATTTGTCTAACAGGTAAGCTGCAAAGTGCTGCAATTCTTTCACCAGTACATGTTGGGCTGCAACTACTTCTGGATGCTCTGCGAAGGCATTTATCTTCACACGTTGATTGTGGTGGCAGTGTTTGCGGAAGAGCAGCGTTTGCACTGGTATTACCTTTTGGGCTGGGGTATGTATGTTATAAGTCATAGCAAGATGGCCAGTTCTTTCAGATGTTTGAATTCTTCTAGCATGTATACACCTGAATTGTTATGTTTATACCACTAGATCATATCTTATGATTGAGTTATTGGGTCCTAAATTTGAGTGTATTTATTTCGATGGGCCTAGACACTTAGAAAAAGCAGTAGGAGTCAGTATCCATTATTTGCTGCATCTTGGGATTTGCCGAACGAAGTGCTTAAGTTTTTTTAAGCAAAGCTTTGGGAGAGAAATAGATTTCTATCTAAGCTCATCTCTCATCTGAACAAAACTTGTCTATTTTTGACACTTTATATGCAAAAATATTAATCTGTGATGGTACCTATAAAGTATAATTATTCTGGAATAAAAATGAGGAAAATCTGTTTCTATGTTTTCCAAAGTGAAAAAACACAAAATGTAGAAAAAGGAACCAGAATTTCTCTGGAACTGAATCCAGTATCAGATATATTTTGGCAGATGTTTTAAAGGAGTAGACACAATTTTACCTACACAGGAGTAGATACAATTTTACCTACACAGGAGTAGATAATTGCTCTGCTCTCAGGCCTGAGATAAATATAACCAATATGTTACAGTGGAGTGCATTCTCTTTCACATTTAAATCACTATTGTAATCAGTGTTGACAGGAAATCATTATCCAGGGCTTTTTCACAGTTTGTGAACCATGGATCTCTGACCTCATTCCAGTTACTGGTGAGCCAGTTCCTGTATTTTGAAACCACTGGTGCAGCTGAGCAGCAAATGATGGACCTTTTCTGCACTTAGGGATGTTCACTTGCATTCATCTCTTGCAATCCCAGTCTGAAGCAGATAGAATTTATATTTTCCATCCTCTTCAGAGATATTATTCTTGTTCAACATCATTTCATTTAAACCAGGAAAATAAAAAATAACCCTACTGTTTAAACAGAAAAAAATTAGGAATTAATTAGATGGGTGAAAAATGACCCAGTTCTGAATGTTCTGAAGCATTTTAAAACTGACTTCAGCCAGCAGTTAGGCATCCAGTATCATGGTCCTAAATAGGCAGTAACATCAAAGTTGGAATTTGTTCTTCCCCTGTTTAAATTTTTATTTAAGAGCCTGGTAATTTATTTTCCTCTTATGGTATAAAACTTAGTGCTCTCTGGATACCTACATCAGATACCTAGAAAATTAGTATGATTTTCTAGTTTATATGGATTGTAGTACCAGTTTCCAGGCATATAAGAACTCATCTTTTTTCTTTTATGAGAATGCCATCATGCACTCTTTTTTCTTATGAAAATTGCGTCTTTTCTAAGAAGACAGGGACCTGTCATGCTCTTGGATTTAAAAGTATATGGAACATCATCAGCTCTTAAATGAATACAACCTTCCTGAAGAACCCTAAATCAAGTCAAGTTTTCTAGACTGTCAGTCCAAATAGCTGAGCCCTGTTGAAGCAAGCAATTGTGCTATCACAAAATTTTAATAATTCAGAATATTTGAATATATGAGGTCTGATACGGCTCTGCTTTTGAAATGACAGCCCTATGTGAAGAGTAATTTTAAACATTTCCTTGCCATTTGCATGTCTTGCAGCATAAGCCTTCCCAATGACACTATTTTTGTCATTCCATATCCAATTATGCAGGACGAAAGTGGTCATAAACATATTTTTTTCGGGTGATGTTCAATTTAGATGGTGCAATTTAATGTAACTGGGGCAGCTAGCCTGCAGTGAAAGCTTATGAGCTAGCTGTAATATTGCTGAGAACATCCCTAACATTATGGTCAGTAATTCAGTAAAGTTATCTGATAAGATACTCATTAGTATCTGCAGCTCTGCCCAGAAAATAAATAGGATGGTGGCTGTGGTAATGGGGTAATGATATCTTGAGAAGGAAAAGGTTAGTAAAAATGGACACAACACTTTGACTGCGTAGTCTGAAGCCTTTTTAATGAAACTAGATGAATACCGAAAAAAAATAAAAAAATCATTAGCATCTCCTAACCAAGGTAGAAGTCATTAACAGCAAAATGATCTAATTACGACTATCTGGCCACCCCTTAAGTTTGCATAAATCAGTGTAATTCCACTGATTGCAGAAGCAGTAGTCACACAGTCTAACTTTAAATATCCAGCTGTGTTAATCAGTGGAGAGAGATACATTTCTCCAAAGGGCAATGCAGAGCAACCAGAGCAGGTTGTGCTCTGAATTACAATTCAAAGGATCAAGGTAAACATACAGCACAAAATGAATATATTCATTATTCATTGTTATACCTAATCCCTGTGCAAGAAGATCTAGATTATTTTATTTGGAAAAATCACTAATGACAGTTGTAAATAGCTTTATAAGAAAAATTAAAATTTGAGCAAATAGAAAACACTTCTGCAAAAGATTTGAAATGGAATTCCATTTGAATGGAATCTGACATGGACAGATGTATTTCAAGGTGGATGCCTTCAGGTGACCCCTGCTCTGGGAACTGCTGCTGGAAATGTTTTTCATTTGTTGTTTCACTGGGTCAGGAAATCACCTTTATGCAGGGAAATAAAACAGTATCAAATATATGCATCCTGCTACAGTTCACTCTTGTCTGACTGTTTTAGGCAGCTCCATCCACATAAACATGAAAAGAGAATCATTTATTTGGGCAGTGCTGAAACAGATTGCCTTCCAAATTCAACTGGAAATACAATTAGCATAATTGCCAGTTTGTGCCATAGAGGACCTGACATGACCTAAAGGGATACATTATACCTTTTCCTGGGATTGCTGGGGTGAGACCTTTTCTATGTTGGTCACTGCTCACTATGGGTAGGTGAGACCCCCTGGTGTGGTACATCTTGTGCCACCAAAACCCAACAGGCTTTCTTGGTGCTTCACTTCTCATTGCCTCTTTGCCTTTTGGCCATTTGCAAGGGAAGAGCAACATCTAGTCCTATGGACCAGCCTGCAGCTGGAAATTTGAGCTGTAGGCAGTCATGAGCCTCTTGCCTTGTAATGAAAACTTTCCATTTGCTTGGGAGTTTGTTGAGCCAAATATTCTAGGCTAATGCATTTAGCAGAAGAAAAAGGTCCCTTGGCATCATATGGAGTGTTCTACTTGCAATACTCCAGGCCAGAGCTTTCAAATGAAGACTTTTTGCTATTACAGAAAGGCCCTTTAAAAATTGTGCTTCAATCTATTTTTCAACAAAACTGGCCCAAATGTGCTCCATTTCCAAATCAAAAGGCTTTTCTCAAGCTGTCAATCCCATAAGGTCATCCTGAGGTTGGTAGCTCCTTTCTTTCTGTTCTGAGCTTTTTGTTCTTCTACAATGTGTCGTCACCCAAAAAAAGGCATTCTGCAGCCAGAGGCCAAGTAATCATTTTCTAACAATATATAAAGGAGAAGGCAATCTATTTTATTCTCTCACAGCTGCATTGTGCTCCCAAGGTAAACTGCAGTAGGAACTGGTTTTGGCAGTAGAGTAAGTAGCTGTTGCTTAAAGATACCTGGAGACAGCAGAGTGTCCTGTGTACATATTTTTTTACCTTATTCTCACTCCTACCTTGTCTGGCCTGTGCTCTGAGGTAAGGCTTCCCAAGAATTTGGCTAAGGATTCTCTGTCTCTTCTAAAAATGTTTATGAAATCACTAATATCTGAAGAAACAAGGAGCCATGTCTTCCCTCTGTGACTAATCACGGTATCAGCATGACATTTTCACACATTTTTATTTATAAGTATAGAATATCCAAAGCTCAGAAGAAACATCCGTGGTTCGTAGGGAATAGGCAGCAGTAACACTAAAGGTGTCCACAAAGCTCTCTGCACAGGACAGACAAGGCAGTAGGTCCTCTCCCCACTGGCAAGGATGTACAAGGGTGTACAGACTGGGGTCAGTATTACAGTGCAGACGCCCCAGTTCCAGGTTTCTAGCCTATTGGAGAGAGACACAACATACAAGCAAGCTGAAGGAAGATGGACAGGAGTGGACCAGATTGTCACTCTTAATACCAGGCTGGATATAAGAATTTAAGACTTCCAGTTTGCTAAGCATGACATGTTCCCAAGCCTGTGGCCTGTTCAAATTGACTTCCATCAGCTCCCTGTCAGAGCAGTGGCCTCCCCTGAGGCTTCACAGATAAACCAGGAGTTGTGGATTTATGGTATCCACAGCTCCACTCCCTGCTGAGATAAAACTGCATGGGGTGGGCTTGGCTGCACAGAGGCTGGGAACCTACAGAAGATATCTCAGATCCCCATCCCCAGAAAAACCTCCCAGGTCCAAACTTTTTCTCTTGCCGCAGACTCCAGAAGAGCAACTCCTTGCTCTCTTGTTTATTGCTCCATAATCTGGCATGCAAGTTAATGTGCCTCTCTTGCTTAACAGTGATTACATGGTTTTAACAAGTGTCCCTGGTTTCCTGAGGGAATACTGTGCTGAGAACCAGCTGATCCCTGCCTCCTTCCCACACTGCTTGCTCACACCCTTCCCTGCACCAACCGCAGCAGTGCAGGGGAGCCTGGCAGCAGCCTTGTGAGGCCCCAGGAGCATGGCCCGTGGGCTTTGCTTCTCCTCTGGCCCACCCTGAACGTTATTCCCTTTTGCATTTCACCATCAAGTTAACGCCAGGGCCCTGAGTGAAATGGGATTGCAGTTCTTTCCTGAAAGCTGTGATGGATGATGATGAAAACATACATGTGTTTTATGTACAAGAGACGTTATTAGTGTGTGTGATACATGAAATTCAAGCTAAAAAAATACCAAGACTGATATATCAATTTAATTGTTTCAGGGTTCCCTTTAGTGCCAGCATCTATTCATGCTGTTGCAAGAGCCAAATACTTCAATGACAAGTGAGTAGCATGTCTGTTTTTGAAGGAACTTAGTATTATTTAACTGTGTAACATATTTTATTTGAGTTAATAATAAATGTCAATGGTGTGTTTCTCCTGCAGCTGCTGGATGAGCGTTGATACACACTTGCTCTATATTGTTCATGGACCGGTAATGGCAGCTTTATTGGTAAGAGTACTGTTTGCTATCAGCAGTTTAGTATTTATGGTAGAAATGCTGCTAACCTGTATAGAATAGAAGTTTCTGTACTTTAAGTATTTTGATCAAAACTCAGACGTAGCTAGAGGTTTTCTCTACTCAGTGTTACAAGGACAGGTTCTCAATACTTTTCAAAAACAAGTCCTGTAAAAGGACCTCCCAGTAAAGAATCAGATTTGAGGCAAACAGAATCACTAACTGCTTTTGAAAATCGAGGTGGTCACTCTCTCCCAGCCTAACTTATTTGTGGCAAATGTACTGCATTTATGTGACATCAGTGAGGCATTTAGCTCTGCCTTAGCGAGGGTGAGCTGAGTGCAAGCTGGTCATGCAGCACGAGTTTTACTGGTCGCTGAACAGGGACGATCCAAAGGTAGGGAGCTAAACTAGTCCAGGGAAGGGACTCAAGTGGGCTGTCTGAGTAGGAAGACAAGATTCAAAGTGCAGCTTGGCAATGTGTATGCTTATAGCAGGTTATATGCCTGTGGTGCCGTTCAGCCTAGTAACGCTGACCTTCCTGAAAGGTACAGATAGGGCTTTATTCAACCGAAGCCCCAAGCTCACCTCATTGTGTCAACCAAGATGCACTATCAGCCTTTGAGCTGCCTCTTCCTTGCGAACATCTGTATGGACATACCTGCAGTAATTACCTCAGAGATCAAACAGTAGGGTTGTGAATACTGGGAACACCTTTGAATAAAGAAACAACCCTTCATCTAATAGCTGATGTTGCGGTTTTAACCTGGACAGTGGCCAAACACCACACAGCCACTTGCTCACCCTGCCCTACCCCAGGGGATAGGGAAGAGAATTGGAGGAATAACGGTAAGGAGACTCTTAAGTTGACATAAAAACAATTTAATAATTGTAATTGTAATAACATTAAATTAAACTAAAAATAATAATTATAATAATGATTATAATAATAATAGAATATAAAAATGAGTGATGCACAATGGAATTGCTCACGACCTGCTGACCAATGCCCGGCCTGTTCCCAGGTAGCAATCCTAGAGGAGAGAAAATCCTGAAACCACAATCCCACAAAAGAGAGAGAGTTTCCTAGCCAACCCTCATCTATATCCTGAGCACAACATTGTATGATATGGAATATCCTGCTGGTCAATTTGGATTCATTGCTCTGACTCCCAGCTTCTTGTGCACGCTAGCATAACATGGGAAGGTGAAAAGTCCTTGGTCTTTTAGCAACAACTAGAAACATCAGTATATTATCAACATTGTTCTTATACTAAATCCCATGCTGAATCCAAAACACAGCACTGTTTTAGTTAGTAAGAAGAAAATTAGCTCTATCCCAGCTGAAACCAGGTCAGCTGGAAAACCCAGAAATCTTTCTAGCCTTTCTTAAGAAGCAGTCCTGGACATCAGCAATATGAAGAAGCCTATTCCTCCTTGCCATATAGATAGTCTGCTGTTCCCATAAAATCACATCTATTGTGGGTTTACTGGTTCAATGTTGATTGCTTTTGCCAACTAACTTCTAGGAGAGGCAATTCAACCTTTATTTTTGTTACCATGCTCCAAGTCTGTACATCTTGGCCACAAAGAAAAAGGAGGGACTGTGTTTTGGTGGAAAAGGAGCAATCTTTTAATTGTTTAAAAAATAAGGCATTATATTTTCTGGCTTGTGCTTATGCCATTTCTGGTCTTACTTTTCCTGTGAAGATGTCAGTGTCTACAGAATGTCCTGCATGATTTGCTACAAAAATCTCATAGTGACAGACTAACTTGGAAGAGCTGAGGATTTTTACCTTTTTTAAGTCTTTTTTTTACTTTTCACTGTTACTTCCAGAAATTCTAAAAGTGAAGGTTAAGCAGGCTGAGTGAAGTCAGAGGAGGATGGAGAAAAAGGTATAGATTTAAGGCTGAATGGGATCTCAGAAGTCATTTATTGTTCCTTTTTTCCAGTAGAGTACAAATGTAAAACAGTTGAAAGGTCTCTCAGTAGTTAAGACATGATTAAATACTTTACTAAAGCTTACTGATTCATGTTTTATTGTTCTGAAAGATTCAACTCATTTCTCATATATCTATGGAATTTGGGTTGTTAAAATACCTATGTAATTTAAAAATAATCTGAAAAATTATTCTTCTGAAGTTCAGAAGTATAGGTGCCTGATATTATTGTGACAGAATGGAAAAGAGTGACCTGAGTACACTGAAAAGAGAGAAGGTCTGTGGTACCTAGGACGTCCACAGGATACCTTCTGGGCTCCTTATCGACCTGAATCTGCCTTCCCTGTTCCTTTGTCGGCTCTCAGCACATCCCTCTCTGTGAAGCCAGGGTGAAGAGCAGGTTTCCATATGCTGAGCACCCACAGCTAGAATCAGATTTCCAGAGATAACTGAGATTAGATGCTGAGCTACTCAGCGTAGCTGACCATAAGGGTCAGGGACAAAACTTTCTGAAGTGTCTGGCGTTCCTGCCCTGAGCCAGCATGTGCTAGCTTTTAACTGTGGGTTCATGCAGTCTGGTGGAGGCAAGGGGTAGCCTACCTTTTTTCTCAGGAGAAGCCTTGCCACCCTGCTCATGCACAAGCCTGAAGTATTGGCCCATGTAAGCTGGAACATGTTGCTCAGAGTAATCGTGTGCCCCTATAGGTCCCATACACCAAGGGATGTGCTGGGGTTTGTCACTCCTAGCTGCAGACATCTTCAGTGCAGACTAAAGCAAGATACCTAGGTGACCTTCAGACTCTGAAGAGAGAAATGGTTACTCCCAGGGGACAATTCATCCATCCCATTTAAACTTTAGACATCAAAATTAGACTGATTGTTCCCTGGAAATCCTAAATTTGACCGCCCACATCAGTGTCAAAAAAGCCAATGCTTCCTAGAACTGATCCCTGCCTGCCTGAAACATCCATGCAGGCTTCCTAAGGGAAGGAAGCATGTAGAGCAGCTTAACATCTCTTTTCTGAAGACATTCAAGGCACTTTCTAAGACCTGACTCCCAAGAAGCTGCCCATTATGAGCTGCGATAGGGCTAGAAAGTTGCATTTTACTGCCCTTTATGTGTTCTGTATTTTTATTTTGAATGTCTGTTTAATTTGAATGCCTTCACCTATAATTGCTTTGTTTTTGCAGGTCAATTTTTTCTTTTTGCTTAACATTGTCCGAGTTCTGGTGACAAAGCTAAGAGATACCCACCGTGCTGAGTCCAACATGTATATGAAAGCTGTCAGGGCCACTTTAATCCTGGTGCCCCTACTAGGAATTCAGTTTGTTATTATTCCCTGGAGACCAGAAAACAGACTTGCTGGAGAAATATATGATTACATCATGCATATATTAATGCATTATCAGGTATGTTATATAGTAGCAACTTCAGCTTGGGTGAGGTGCGTGCCATTAATTTAGCCAAAGGTGTGGTTGGGAGTTGTTTTGCCCTGAAACTGAGTGTGACCATGCTTTTGCAGTTCTTTTCCAACCACTTTCACTTTATTGGATTTTCTGCTTTGGCACAAGTAACATCACTGCATAAAGAACAAACACATGATAGGGAAAATAAAAAATGTAGCAAAAATTATCATATGGCCCTATTTCTAAACTAAGGAGAGAAAACAGAATACAGAGGCTGTTATGTTCAAGCATTATTTTTATTGAAGTGCTCAAATTTACTGAAACTGGTACTGTGAGGTTAGTATTAGCTGTGCATGCAAAATGTTGTACAGAGGGAGTGCCACTGCACAGAAGAAAAGAGTGAGACAATGAGCCTTTATTTAGGAGTTAAAATTCCATTTTTAGGCAGTTTAAATTAAAATATAGCACTGACTTTTTGATTTTATAAACACTGAAAATACGTTAAGTCTGGTTGGTTTTGTTTTTAAAAGAAAACAAACTTAAGTAACTTTAAATGCTTGGTTACTTGATTTACTGACTGTAATATATCCAGTCCTATATAGTGACTAGGAAAGGCAGGTTTTTAATGGATTTGTGTGTAGTGGTCAAAATGGGTGAGTACAGTGACCCACTTCTTGTTTCCTTTCATGCAGAAGCTAAATGCAGAAATTATTTTATTGTTGTAGTAAGAAAACAGCTAAAAAAAAAGTCAGTGGTGCTTTATTCCTTAAATGAAATGGTAAATAATGCTACCAAAAATATATATATCCTATCATTTTAGCTTATATTTTCTGCTTATCGCCCTTAACCCTTTAAAACTGTTGTGTGTGCATGCTACTGTGTGCATAGAATAACTGAAGTTATAGATCTATTTTTGCAATGTGTGCCATCTTATATTACAGTTCTGCTTAAAGGGAATGAGCATCTATTTCTTCTGTTGTTACCTGTATTGTCACTTTTTCAGTCTCAAGGGCTATAAAGGAATATCTCCAAATAAGTTCTCTAGAGACAAGTTGCTTACAGTTTTAGCAAGTTAGGTTAAGATAGAATGTTACAATAATAATTTTACTCTTAAAATATACTCTAAATCATGTGAAGTTTTTTGAGAATTGCAAAAAGAATGTTAATTATGTTAATTAACAATTCTAATTATGATAATTATTATATAGGAAGTCACCAAACTGCGGTAAAAAGGCGACGAGAAAAAAAATCAAAGTGTTGTGAAACTGTTGTACCAATGGATGGGATTAGATGAGGGAGGGATTCAAGGAGGCAAAGTTTCATGTCCACTGGGTTCCTTCTATTTTTGTCCCAGTCATTGGGAATGGGTGTCTCTCCATGAGGTGTTGACCCTGATCGCCCCCTGCCAGTACATTTTGTCCTCTTTCAGCAGTTGGGACAGTGCTGGGGACACCGATGTGGGGACATGGTGGGGGCTGCCCTTGCCCCAATGCTGCTGTGCCCAGAGAGAGCCGCCGGGCATGCTGAGAGGTGACAGCCCACCCAGAGCTGTCCCCCAGCCAGGGCAGCAACAGAGACCTCACAGAAGAACTCTTGACACCTCTGCAATATCGTCTTGGCGTGCTTCCCACCAGTACATAAAATTTGGCCTTTTGGGAGGACTGTGCAGTTGTCCTGCTCACTGCCGCCAACTGTGACACTCTATTTTCTACTTAGGGCACAGTTTTAATTGTATTCTAAAATAAACTTTCTTAATCCTTTCCCAGACATTTCTTGTATGCATATTTAAGACAGCGAGCTGTATAAGCACTCCTCTGGTGCTCATTTTCTTCTAGGACTGATTGTGTAATTAGCAGATACTGTATTAGCTTGTGTAATGGTTATATTTCTCCACTAGCTGTTGTGTTCTCATAAACTGCAGCACAGTCTGCCTCTCCAGAAATTAGCAGCAGTCTTAGTTTTTGCATCCTGTAGCATGTCAATCATATAGAAGCAGGCATCGTGGGTGCGATTATGATTTTTTTATAATACATTTCTGCACTTGTTAAACGATTAATTTTTAGTGCCTTTTCTAGAACAGAAAGAGAGACAATTTTTCAACAGCATGTCACTGCTTTAAGTGAGCACAATGGTTTGATCTATTAGTTACATCATCCATGTACACAGAAATGGTGCAAACAAGCATTGCAGTCTATTGTAAAAGTCAGAATCAGAGGATTAAAGATGATGAATGAGAAAGAATTTGTTCCCACAAGAAACTGTGATGGTATTTCTTTCAGAGAACAGTTTTCCCAGTTGAAAAACAACACATTGAGATGCTACGTGCTAGGTTTCTTCTGCTGAAGTAAATTTTGAATAACAGAAGCCAGTCTGGTTTTGAATTGTCCTGCTCTTTTTGCAGTACTCTCATCTGGTGCAGGGAAGAAATAGCCCCTGAATCAACAGCAATATGCAAGCACTTCAAGTTACTCTTCTCAATACCTTGCTGACTGTGGCCCTAAACATGCAAGTCTGCCTCTAATGAAAAATCAAAATGCAATTCAACATAAGGGCCTTGTTTTTTATTAGCAAATATAAAGGTTTTTTCTATTAAATGGAGAATAATAAAAAATTTTCTTGTTCCTCAAGTAAGATTACTTCTGTGTCACGCGGCAGTTTCCAAGCAGCGCCCTCAGGACTGCAGCACTCATCCTGCCTGCAGGAAGATCCAACTCACAGGGACCACCTTAGTGTAAAGGTCATTTTGTAATTTTTAGGCATGGGTTTGGGTCACATATATATCCATCCTGCTTCCAGGTTGTAACTTAGCTGTCTGCAGCTTTATGCAGAACAAAAGTAACCTGTTTAAAAGTAGCCTCTTAAAAATAGTAAGATATTTCAATGCATTTTAGAATATATTAATTCCATCTATTTATCTGTTTAAAGGGAAATAAATATCCTCTGTGATGTCAAAACAAACAGAAACATTTTCTCCTTCTATGCAAAGTTAAGGACATAGGACAGCTTTTGACAACAAAAGTGGGGTTTTTTTAATTTTCTATTCCTTTTTTTTATTTGCATTATTAGTAATTTCAAAACTTTCTATTGAGCCAATAAAAATTGGGAAAAATGGGTTTTTTGAAAGCTAGATAAAGCACCATTTTTGTATGAAAAATTCAGAGAAGAAGCAAGGTGTGAGCTTTGGCTGATGAGATGTCTCCTTCATTTTGCAGCAGATGAACTGCTATCTTCAATCCTCTTGTGACAATCTCCCACCTCAGTAGCAGCAGGAACTACACAGAGACATTCTTTGCTTTGCTTATTTTTTTAACCTAACATAAATGAATTATTTATAATGCAGTTGTTTACCTCAGAGATGCTGTGTGAATGTGCTGTGAATTAAGATGATGAGGAACACAGTATTGTTTTCTAAAAGCTCTTTATCTTTGCTGAAATGTGAGAGAGGAATGGGAAGCACTTCAATGAATGACTTTCAGATCCTGAAGTGAGACGTGAATGGGCATGGATCAAAGCCCGCACAGAGACTCAGAAACTGATTTTTTTATATTTTGGCCATCTGTACAATTACATGCACCATCAATAATGAATATAACACTCCACTAAAGCCTAAATGGCAACACAGTGTGTAATTAGGGCAGAGACTAAGGACATGGACATGGTAATAAATAACAGAAATATATGCTTTATTGGTTTTATGGAGACATAATCTAGAAGAAAAACAATGGAGGTATCAGAAACTCATGTAAATTTGTAGTATCTGCATAGGTATTTTTTTGGTGTTTCTTTTTAACCTGAGCAAATTACTGGAACTTGTCTTGAAGACACTCATGTCCTCTAGGAGAGTGAGTTACAAAGTAAATACCTGTCAAGCAAAGAATGTCCATGGACCAATATAGGGGAACACCCAACACAGGGGAAAACCCACCACGGTGTCAATAATGTACATGAAGGTCTGAGAGCTGCTGACTCTGGACAATCGCTAAGGCATGATTCAACCAAAAGTCACATTCATCTGATCTTCACATGGTTCCAGAAATAAAGAATTTCAGAAGCAGTCATTAAAGGCCTTAATCTCAAAATAAATGTATTCTTCATCTCTGCCTTCAATACGACAGCCAATATTATCCTGCTGTCAGCACACAATATATCACAGGTCAGTTTAACAACTCCACATAGTGGCAGAGAGATACAATTGACCTAGAGGTCTCAACCTCAACAAGAATTGCACCCTGAGCAAAAATCAGCAGGAGTCAGAGAGAATATGGAAAATGTGTGTCAAAGAGATATGAGAATTAACGTGTGGGCCTTAACATGAAGTAATTAACCTACTTCCAGTCTGTCACATGTTTTAGTAGATCCACTGTAAAATTACCATCACCCCAAGCCCTCCTGACTCCGAGGAGACAAAGCTGGTGTCTGCTACTGGTATCTCTCTCTGTAGCTTTACAGATGAAGGTAACAATACCCTGAACTATGGGCAAAACTTTATGTATGAAATAGAAGAAATAAAAATAGAAATAGAAATAATAGAAATAGAAATAATAGAAATATAGATGACAGAGCCCAGAGAGCCATTGCTGTTGGAAGAAGAGCAATGAGACCTATATGGGACAAACTAGAGAAAATAATTTTATCAGCTAGAAGACGTACAACATCCATGGTCTCAAAATAACAAGGAGACAAATCTGCTCTCAGCTCACTCCAGACCAGAAGAGCAACTGAAGGGGTATGAGGCATCACCACAGCTTCCTCTTTCTGTCAGAAGTTGTCTGGAGAAAGCACTAATTAAGGGAACTACACTCTCCAACAGAAGAGCGATTACAGGATTTTGCAGAGGAATTCAAGTACCATACAGGAATGGAAATCGAAAATGGCTTCACTTCAATAGTTCAGGTTCAATATCTGCCTTTAGCTGAACTGCAGTTCCCAAATTCCCCCTGAACACTTTCACTGAAGAACAGGCTTAGAAAAAATTCTCTGCTTCTTTGTTTCCTCTTGCTGTCTTTCGTATCTGCCATGCCTCACATGGACTGTCCACTGAGCACCTCTACTCACAGAGGACATCAAGATCCATCTCATTTGCCATTGTGGCTGACTGCTGTTAATAAAAACACACTTTAACAAAATAGCAAGACCCCTGCTGCAACCAGGTACTGTGCAGTTCAATAGTGGATGTTTTTGCAAGACTGTGCAAAGTAACATAGCACACACAGCGCGGGAGAATAATCAGTATAGGGCACTAGGAAGTGACACATTTGCTCCCCTTGCATAAATTTTTTATTTAGGAATCTGTGGTCTGATCAAATACTGCTTTAGGAGCATAAGGGTTTGATTTACTTTGTGGTGATTCTCAAACCAGAGCTTATGGACAAACTATTGTGCAGTGCATGTTGTATACTGGGATTTGAGGTTTTTTGAGAATACTCACTGTTTTTCCAAAACACAAAAAACCTTTCTTTTTCTCACTAGCCTTCCTCCTCCTCACACATGCTTTTATGTGTTCATATTTTAAGTCATGTAAAATTGTGCATTAGAGAAAATTTATTGGAATAAAATAGTTTCCAAAATTCAGATGGTCAGCACCTTTTCAAACCAGCCTGTGTGTCCCTAATACATAAGCATTTTGTTAAAACAGTTATTGCTTACCCTACATGTGTGGACCAAAATATACACTTGAGAGTCCAAGACATTTTACAGAGCATTAGCTACAATTTCACTGGTAATCAGTTAAATAAGGGTTTATAAAAAAGATACAACTGTAAAGCTCTTCAAAGCAGCCCTTGGAAACATAAGCTATTTTATTGCAGTTTTCCCCTCAATTTCACAAACTGTCATATATTTAGTTTATAACAACCACATTAAGTAATTTAAAATGAAGGCATTTGGTTCCCAGTGATGCTATGTAATGCTTTTTTAATAAGAGCGAGTGCAGTTTAGAACATGGACCAGTGTAACTACATGACTCTGAATGGTAGGCTCTGTGTGTGAGAGTTTTCTCTCATTAATTTCACACTTGCTCACCTTATATTCCTGCCTTGGCCCTCTTTAATCTTGTAGCAGTAGTAAAATATTATCTGAACAACTGTGGCAATAATTAAATTAATTTTAAGACATTTAGGACCAAGCTATGAACTGCAGTTTCTCTTCTTTTTTTTCTACCCCCTTAACCTTCTAACTCGCCTGTTGTGATTTTTTTTTTCCTTTTTCTGACCACTTATACCTCTTTTCACATCCTCTCCATCCATCATGATGCTGCACATAGAAGTTCATTTATCCTGACATACAATTAAATTAAAAGCTTTCCTGGGACAGTTGGATTCTCCTTGGCTGACACTTCTGTCTGGGTAACTGGACGCTGGCAAATGGATGGCAGTGTGTAGGACACAATTCCTCTGCCATCTCTTCAGCAAAGTCAGTGGCAGTGTGGTAGTCCACTGTAAACAAAATGTCTGTCTACCTTACATACCATTTAATTTTCCTTCTCTGAGCCTCTTGTAGAAAAATAACTTCATAGCTGAAGTAGAAAATGTATAAATGCTGGTAATATAGGAGAAAATGGTAAAACATGTTGAAAAGACAAAAATCAGTGTAATAACATAACGCTGAAAGAGAGTGAAGTTAGGTCAAGTGTCTGTGATGCAATGGAAGTGGGCTAATATTTTTATCTTGTATCCATCAAGTCCAAATCTCCAACAATGCCAAAAAAAATTATATATTCTGATCTCTAAATTCTTTTCTTCTCCTTTCTCTTAGGGCTTACTTGTGGCAACTATATTCTGCTTCTTCAATGGTGAGGTAAGCATGTGAAATACAGCAAATGAACAGAACATGGAAAATAGTCACTTCATTCTTCATTAATGCAGAAATGAAGCATGTCACACTACAAACTTTGTAAACACACAAAGTCACTTTTTACTCTCTGTATACAAGTAGCAGTGTGCATTTTTGAAAGCTCTGTGCAGAGCGCATCTTGAATATCTCTGAGCAGATGAATCAGGAGTGTTACCATTAAAAAGCAGATGTCACCAAATGAGGTGCAGGCATGAGACTCTCCCCCTACCACATACAATTTTGAGACAGAGGTCTAAGTAAAGGAGAAGAATGCTCTGCTTCTCTTCCTCCCCTGGAATAGTGGGAAGGACCACAGTGCCCTGTAAGAAGCAGTGGGGATCTTCAGGGGTCTATCCTAGAGAGCTATGTGCTTCATTCAGCCCTAGAGCCGTGGCAGATGCCATCCCCAGTAGCACTGTCAGAGCAGAGGAGCCTGGAGGAGTGTGATTGCTTTGACTCCTTTGAGGATTAGTGTTGGCCTTTTTAAGGTCAGTGTTTCTCACATAGTAATTGAGAAAAAAAAATGAAAAAACCCTTGAGGCAAAGATATCTCCTATTCTCTTAGAACTGGATCAATATTTTATATACCTACAGCTGGTTTTAGGTTCACCTCACTAGTTGTTTTTTTTTTAACCAAAAAATAGATGGTCAAAATATGTCAAGAACCATTTAAATTCCTAAAGAAAAAAGCTATTTTCCAAAGATGGTTAGCAGAAAAATGCTTTTCCAACACATCAGGAGCATCCAACTATAGTGAAATAAAACACCACGTCTTAGAAAAGCTAGAAAGTCTTTTAAAAAGTTAATTTTTAATCCAGAGCAGATGAATTAGATACAGAGCAAGCTTTGTGATGCTAACCCAAAAGAGATATTCATGCTCCTGTTTATCCCTGTATATTATTAGAAAGTAGCAATTTCCTAGTAATTATGTGACCACACTGATATTTTGATAGCAACTTGAAGCAAATTATCTTATTGATAAGGTGCTACTGGCTGGTTTACTAATGTCTGGGATGGCAGAGAGCATTAAATTCTGCCACTGCTTGTTGACATTGCTGTACATTTGCTTGTGGCTGGCTTGCTGTATGAATGTACGGAGAGATGCAATGGTAGAAAGATTAGAGGACTCCCCGCTGTAATTCTGTAACATGGCTTCTTAGGAGAATAAAAGAGAATGGCTAAATGTAAGCAGTTAATGACACCAGAACCTAACATGAAACAATAGCTGTAAAGATCATGCTGCAGAAGATCATGCTTTCATGGGTCCGATTAAACAAAGTTGGAGAGACTTACAACTCTTTTCTTATCACGTTTCTGTCCCCAGCATCTGCAGGCTGCTACCACCTTTCTCCTTCTCCCTTACTGTCATCACTCTCTGTCACAGTCCAATCTCCATGCCCTGGAAACACAGAAAGACTTCTGATTCTCCCTGGTAGGGGGACGTGGTGTGGAGAAAGAAGAGACCAGCCAGGCAGTTTTTGAAACCCCATAGCAATGACTGCATCACTACATACACACAGTGCTCCAGTGTGTCCTCACTTGCCTCCAAACAGTGTGTTACCCCAAAATCCTGGTCTTAGACATTGCTTTCTTCCTTCTTCATTCTCCCCAGCATCACCTTACAATTTTTCAGATTAGATTTTGCAAAACAAATTTTCTTAATTTTTTATAGCTTTAGTGTAAAAGGTCAATTACTCTGTAATTCTCCAACTCTAACAGAACGTATGGATTTGTGCCTAGATTAAAAGCTTTAGCAATGCTAAAAAGGAGGAAAGGCAACAAGAAAATGCACTGAAAACATAAAGGCTGTTTATTTCTTAGATACATTTCTTCAGATAGCTCTAATTCCAAAGAACTTTTGGCCATGCCACAATGTCCAAAAGCATATCCGCTTTTACAACTCCAGGAATACAATTTTCAAGTTACACAATAATGAATATACCTGGAGTGTCTGCTTACCAACATCATGGAAGACCATAAGTATAATTTAATTCAAAATTAGATTGCAGGGTATGAATGAGTTTACCTGTCATATGAACTAACCTGTAGTGTGAAAGGCAAAAAACTGAAAGCCACATTCCAGGAATGAAAATGCATCTAAAATAAATACACAGCTCTTTTTGTTCATTAAGTATTGTATTGCATTTAATTTAGAATTCAGAATAAATATATTTGCATTAAGAAAATACACCATATTCATACATGACATTCAGATGTCCAACCTCGGAGACCTGCTGCACTTCATGGACTCCTGCATTGACTGAACTGCTGTTAGGAAGCGGTAATATCAGCCAGTCATTCCTTACATGTTCTGAAGATTCACAGTTTACATCCAAATCCTGAATAATAGCAGTAGTCACTGAACCCCTAGACACCTCTGAAAGCCTTTTTGACACATCTGGCAGCCCACAGTAAAAAGACTTCTTCCTTGTGAGAGGCTCTTACCTGAATATCTACTTTTGATGCTTGAATTGTCAGTGAGCCCTCACTAAGGGGACATATTTGGAAAGGATGTTGCCCAAAATGAGATAAAAATGAATCTGATGTCGAAATGTGGCTTCCAGTTTGGTACTCTTTTTCTTCCATAAGTAATCACATGGATGTCGTAACTACCTCCCGGTAGCTCCAGACTGCAAGTAGGATTAATGGCTCCTTGGTGAAGTGGCTGATCAGAAACATTCATCAGTGTCAAGCAGTAAGAATAAACAGCTGTGGGGATTCAGGCTTCCCAGACATGTTAAGAGTGATTTTTTACACCCATTTTCAAAATGGTGGTATCGTCTGCTTCAAACTTGCAGACTGTCTAACCTGATCAATGTCAGAGATGCTGATAAATCCCCTCATTTTTTTCTTATAGGAAATTTTATTTACTGGACAATAAGGGAAGATTTTTTAGAATTTCCCATTAAGGTGGGCAGAGAGTTAAAGATGACACCTCTCTAATACAGACTCAAGACAGTTTGGTGCTACTTGCATCAGCACAATTCCAATAAACATCAAGCAAGTTTATGTACTACAGTAGCTGTGCTGGGCTGTGCCAGAAGCAAGGATGAAAGGATTATGACCCCTTTCCTCCAAGTCCCATTTACTCCTGCAGTTACACAAGGTGTAGATATATAAGGCACAAAACCTGTAGAGGAGCAGCAACAGACTAACGCCAAGATGGCATTTGGTCCTTCCAAAGGGAGTGATGGTCTGAGTTTGGCTGCCCAAGAGAACTAAGCTGAGATAAGTTCCCCCAGTATTTCTTTGTGCAGTATGACATAGACCAAAGCCACAGTCTGGTCTTCAGTCATGGTAGGAGATTGTTTCCAAGCAGCTTTATACCTCTACTGACACAGAGGTCAAAATTATTTCTCATGAGAAAATTCAGTGTGGGGCAAGAAGATTAATTTTAGTACCACAGGAGCCTGGATACTCTGGGATTTACTTTTTCCTACTGGAATATTTAACTTCAAGGCTGAAATACATGAAGTTCAGCCAGGCCAAACAATGCTAAACTCAGTACCACTTGACAGTGTTTTATATTGCATTCATCACCTACTACCTCACCAACCTCACTTTAGTTCCATGAGCCCATCTATATAAAAAAAAATGTGAAAGTAATAGTGAGAAACTGTACTGATACCTGCATTCATGTGGAGGAACACATAAACAATGGATTTGTTTTGGACTTTTAAAATGACAGATCGTCTTGTGCATTTTCATATAAAATCTGTGTCCAGCAGCACTGTGGTTTCTCTGTCCAACAACAACAGTGTTGTACAGATGATACAAGGTCTCTGCAATAGTCTGCTCACCAGACCATATTTCCAGGCCTGAGACTCCTTCTAGACTGCAGGGCTGGCCAACAAAATGGAAAGTCTGTTTGGAAAAAAAAGCAGCCATGTATCTTGTGTGCCAAAGAGGCATGAATGGCTAATAGAGAACAGAAAAACCTTTTAAGTCCTAAAGAGCAGAGTAAATAAACTCAAGCTCTTTGTTTCTTTAGACTTTCTTCCATCTGCTATCACAGTGGAAAGCATGGCAGGTATCACCCTGCCCCGCCCGGTCCCCAGGAGCCTCTTTGGTTATTAATATGTTACGGCTGTGCATGTGATTTTCAGTAATGCTGCTTACACATTTAAAATCCATGCGTGAACAGTTTTAGTTGGCACTGAATTATGGTCATCTGAGATCCTTGGAATCATGACAGATATCTAGATTAACACATTGTTTTACTCAAGGGCAGCAGCTTTTACTATCCATTATCTGTTTGCGGCTCAGCAAGAGCTTGTCACCTTCACAGCAGCTCTTCTCCCCATGCAAGACCGATCAAAGCCTTGGGGTCTGTGCAGGGGGAAGGGGAAGAGGGGCTGGGAGAGCAACATGGAGGCTGTAAGAACCTGCTCTTGCGACCTTCGCTGAAGACTCTGAGGTTAGTCTTGAATGGATGAACTGCTGTGAAATGCAAGTGCGCTCAACACTTAGGGGCAGAGGTGATGGCCAGAGGTGCACAGTGGCGAGAGCCACTAATGACCACAGTGGCTGTGGGTGGGCAGAACTGCTATACACCCCCAAGATTTCTACATTATCCTCATTGTGTCAGGCCATGGGTTACAGGAGCCACTGCCCCAGAGTGATAGTGGAGAAAGTTTCTGACTTAATCTTTCTGAAGATTTCTTCTTCCAGTCCCTCCCTATAATTTCTAGAGTGACTAAGGTAAAGTAGGTGTTCATACAGAGCCCTGTAACATCAAAAGGCAGTTTTAAAGTGACTAAAATCTTTACAGGGTTTACCTCATGTGTAATATTTCCATATCATGTGCTACAATTGCATTACTTTTATGCAGTAATTCTTTCTCACTAACAAAATTTGGCGATGGTGCAATATGAAACATCCCTGCATGCATTTAACTTTATTTAACTTTAAATCTCAGTATTGGCATAGCAAACTTTGCTCTTAGCCCCAGTAATTAAAGTACTGTTGTAACCATATGCCTTTTCCATGCTTGTTATCTAATTAACTTACACAGCCATTTGTTTTTCCTTTATATGTTAAGAGAAGGTGAATAGGAATACATTTCTCCAGGTGAAAAGAACTCTTATCTACTTTGTCTTGAGCTAAACAATAACAAAAAAGACCTACTATTGGAAACTGGGCATGGATATCTTTTTCAGTTAGTTTTAAAGAGTGAGTCCAGCAAACATTTGTTTACTCAAGAAAGTAGTCATACCAAAGTCAGTGCAACTACTTGCACGAATAAAGTTTTATAGCATCAGTCCTCATAACTTGGCTTGTGTCTTGGATTAAAAATAAAAAGCCAAAACAATTGAAATATCCATTCTTGGCATGTTCTGTAGTCCTGCTGTACTCTCAGTAAGCATCTCAGATTCATAGCAATTCCTTACGAAGCCTTGTCCTTATTTGACATGAAACAAGAAAACTTTCTTGCAGGCAGCTGTCGGTGGTTAGTAGATAACATGTTACTATATACATATTAATAGAGTGATTAGAACTGTGGAGACTTGGGAAATACTAAAGTCATTTAGATTCATCTACATGAATCACAGATACTGTTCTGCACAGAGCCTAGAGAGGGACTTGAGACTACTCCCTGAGCTAAAATGACATACAACATCCACCTCAGCATCAGCATGGAAACTCTGGGACACTCCAGGACACTTCTGTCATCACAGTGCCTCCCTCACCTGTGCCTGCCTTGCTCTGGAGGGGTGGTCATTTACAGCAGATTATTATGGCAAACTCCTCCTATTCTCACATTTTGCTGGCTGGAGTGCCAGCACGCCTGAACGTGCAGCTGGAGAAGGGCTTCGTATTCCCTGGCAGGACCCAGTAGTTTAAGTGATACCCTAGTGCCATATATAATATCACTTAATGTAAATGTTGAATAAAATATTTTATTCCTAGATGATGAGTGTCCAAAGGTTGAAATTCTCTGCTATGCAGAGAACTATGACCAATGCTATTTTTTGTCAGCACAGAACCTGTTCTTAAATTACCAGAACAAAACTGCTGCTTATCTGTACTAATCCTCTCCAACTCTACAAAATTAGCCCTGGCAAGTTCTTGAAGTGTACTTACGCTTTGCCATTCATCGCCAGTTTCACTCAAGGTTAAACTTCTTCAGGGATCACAATTAGCCGTGCCAGGGCAAGGATCCAGCTACAGGATCATTTAATCCCCATCCCTCCTTCCTCTTCCCTCTTCTGCCTCTTCTACTATGTTCCTGTGCAGCAATCTTTTCCACATTTACCTCTAATGGGAACAGCTGACCCATACCCACTCTTTGTAAGGAGCAACAACTGCAGAAACTCTAATTGCTGCCATTGGGTTGGCAGGGAGGGAGCTAAGGCCAAGACATGAGTAGCTGCTTCTGCTCCTGGAGCTGGGAGCAAAGGGGAGGAGAGGGGCAGACTGAACCTGATGGAATTAGACCTGGAGCTTTTTCTTTTTTTTTTTCTTTTCTTTTTTTTTCTAATTTCCTGTAGCAAATTAAAAAATTGCTACAATCGTAGAGGTTTAGATTATGCCTCACCTTAACTATGTGTTTCTTAAACAGGTGCAAGGAGCATTGAAGAGACAATGGACACAGTACAAAACCCAGTGGGGCCAAAGGCGCCGAGAGCACTGTTCCACACGATCTACCTCCTACACTGCAACATCAATCACAGAGGTCCCTGTTTACCTGTTCCATCATGATTCCAACAATGAACAATTAAATGGAAGATATGTAGAGGACTCTGAACTTGTTGCATTAAAACCTGGAGAGACATCTGCCTAGCTCAGCACCAGCCATTGCAAACATATCATTTCACATTCTGCTTGTGAACAAAGTTGGGAGAAGATTGGGAGAAGGGAAATCCAAGCCTCTGTGGGAGAGGGCAAGACCAGGTGAACAGACACATCATATTCAAACCGCATCAGCTTCTGACAGTGGTGGTGTAGAAGGAGTCTGATGCAGACCTGCCCACCAGGCTATGTCATCTCCACATCTCCTGGTACCAGTTGTATGAAGTGACCATCTGACAATAGTAACAGTGCCAGATAGCCCATAGTAAACAGGAAAGAAAGAACCAATACCTGGCAATTAGAAATTTTCATCAATTTTTACTTTCATTACTTTTCCTTAACACTAGTTTTTAAATTATCAACTTTCACAAGATGTAACTGACTTGGAGTCCTTTACTTTTCCCCTTTTAATGGGCTTGATGAATTCTTAAAAAATTTTGTGCATTGCAAGACAAATCAAACAGATGAACAGAAAAAGAGTCACTCCAAAGTATTCACATCTTGATTCTCTCCAAAGGATAGCCCCAAATCTTACCATCCCCAAAGGATACCCCAAAATATTACTATCCCATTAGCAAGTGCATAAAACAATGAAGGTAAAATAGTCATTGCATATCAAGATCACAACACCCTCAGAAAAACAGACTGGTTCTTTAGGCTGCTTCACACAGGTCCTAAAGGCATCTCAAAATAGTTTTTCTTAACTGGTAGTCAAGAATATTTATTTATAGGAAGAATTGTCACCTTATTACTCTGCCCAGAAACTCATAATTAAGGCACAGTTCTTTCCACTCTGAATAAACCATGAAATTTGTTTGGAAATGATGATTTTCTTTAATAGCCATTCAGAGATGAATACTAGATGAAAGTTTGCCTCTGTGATAAAATTATGATCACGGCAATAAAGGATCCCGAGTAAGAAATGACAAACTAATGACTTAGCACAGGAAGCATCTATTTTTAAATCTAGTTGCTGCTCTGAGTCCCTAACTGTTGAAAGTGATGATTTCATGTGTGAGTCTGTCTTCAGGTAAATATGATGAATGTACAGTTTTGTGAGTAATAAGCACCTTTAATCACACATTCAAAGCATCATTAGAGTCTCCATGTGATTACTGAGGCAGAAATCAGGTCAGGGAGAAGCTGATTTGCAGTTAGGAGTTACAGTACTGTCACTGCTAAAGTTCTGCAAATCACAAAAGAAATAAAATAGATTAATTTTCCACATGAAGCTAATTGTAAAGAATCTGCAAACAACAAGGCCAGGGCAAGGGAAGCTTTGCAGGGCTGTGACTCCTATGGAGTTTTATTCATAAAATGTATAATGAATATAATGTCACTCCTTCTTGCATCTCTCTGAAAAACTGTCCTACAGATTTCCCGCTCCTTTGCCTTTGCCTGAGATGTGCATGGGATATTTCAAATGCTAACAACTTCAAGATACTCATCACCGTCTTTAATGTTATAGGAAGCTGGAAAGTTATCAGTCCCCATTTGTTTTCCCTCCTAATATGCTTGCATCTGATGCTTCCACCCCAGCCCAAGATGGAAGACACAGTCAGAGGAAGAGGCAGCTGCAAGTGCCAGTGGTGACACTTGCTTATCTCTAATGCCTAAATACCAGCCCTGACCTGGGAGTTGTAAAAATAGTGTCCTACATGGCAGGTGACTGGAAAGAGACAGAATGCCATCATTCATGTGGGACTTCTGCTGCTGGTGTAAAATTTCTTCCTTTCCTTCATTTGCTTGCTGCAGTTCCATCCATAATCATTTTGCTCCTTAGCACTGCATAAGCTACTTAAAATATCATGGGTTAGAATAGTCTTAACTCCAGATCTTGTCACATAATAAAGAAGAAGAAAAAAACTAAAATAAGGCACTTAAGCTAAATGACAATTCTTTTGCGATAACATTGGAGGTTACAGAGGCCCTAACCCTGCAGGTGTGTTAAGGAGGGAATGCAGGACAGTCTGTGTGCCACAAGGTAAAATGCACTTTAAGGAGTCCCCTGGAAGAGATCGTAAGTTACTCCTGCCATAAACCTTGATAATCAATTTCAGATTCTTTTTGAATTAGTAGACAAATCCCTGTTGACTTGTGTGAGTGGTGAAGAACTCTATTCGGTGTTCAGGAATGACTTATACAGTGCAGTTCGGAGTAGACTTCAAAAAGAGGAAACAATTCTATCCTTAGCAGTTTGAAACCATTTTTCAATATTATGTTCATCCAGGCTCAGTTTATCCTTTACTGATGCACCTAGACCCTAAGCTTTACTCTTCCATTTGCAAATTTTAAATGGAGGTCCACTGTACATGTCTACTTACACAAGTCACTATCTGACTGAAAAGTCTATTCTAGGAGTGAGCTTGTGAGGGATAGGCATAAACCCAGTTCTTTGGGGGGGGGCTGAATTCCCAGTATCCATACATGAGGCCAGGACTGAGCTGCTGGCGCTGTGACTGTACAATAATAGAGGGAAGCTGGGGAACAGGAACTAACTGCCCACCGATGGTGCAGATTGTAGTATGGTTAATCCAGTGAAACATTTGCAAGAAAATATGACCCTATGAATTTGTTCAAACCACATACCTATTTTTTCAGACTTCAAGGAGTGAAGTTATTTTTTCAGACAACAGTATTTTGCATATTACTATTTCTACTTTTGCCAGCAAACAATGGGAAGTGGAGAATTTAGTTATTAAAGACTAAAAGGTGTCTCTGCCATGAATGCTGTATTTCTGAATAGCTTTGGGGCACACTGCACTTCCCTGGAGGGCTCCATGAGGCATTCTTAGTTTCTGAAGTCACAAATGAGCTGATTGTAAAAGAAGTGTGCATAATGTAGAGAGTTAAATGATGAACATATTTCTTTTAATAATGTGCATGTTTGCAACATGAAAGTACAGATTGGTTTACAGTCTGTTTACAGTCTGTGGATATACAAACTGGAAATGCTTTGCCATTATAGTGGTTGTTTTCTTTCTTCACTGATGTTGTATTC